CTGGGGCCGCGGCCCCACACGGCCGCCGCCGCCGCCGCGATGGCCCAGCAGCAGATGACCAGCTCGCAAAAAGCCTTGATGCTTGAGCTGAAATCCTTGCAGGAGGAACCAGTGGAGGGCTTCCGGATCACCCTGGTGGATGAGTCCGACCTCTACAACTGGGAGGTGGCCATCTTCGGACCCCCTAACACCCTCTACGAAGGCGGCTACTTCAAGGTACCCCCACCCCTTCCCGGACCGGATTCCCGGGCCTCCCCTCTCCGCCGCGGGCCGGTAGCGTGAGCGCGGGGTGTCGAGGGGGCTCCTCACCTCGCAGCCCCCTCCCCCAACCGTGGAGGCAGGAAGGCCTTGCTCACCAAGTGCCTTTTCTTTGTCATGGGGCGGGGGCGGGAGGCCAGACTGCACCGGGAAATAGGAAAGCCTCTGTGGCTGGGGTAGTGGCTACCGGGAAGGAGGGCTGCCTTTGTTTTGTTTCTCCAGCTGAGGGTGTGTGGAAATAGAGATGGTCTGTCTTCTCTTTCTCGACCCATCCGAGCCTTCTCTGCGCAGGCTGGAACTGCCCCAGAGGGCAGGATGACCTGCACTTATTGGATTGGACTTTTCTCTTTTTTGGGGGGGGGAGGGAGTGTGGGGGAGGAACATTAGCCTGTCATTCCCCATGTCGCTAGTGCCCTGACATTTGGAAGATTTGTTGGTCTGGGTAGGGGTAGACCAACTTTTGATTTCAGTAGGCGGTAATAAGGAAAAGGACCCCCGGGGGGTGACCAAAAAAAGAGAGGGTGGTGTGCTGGCGTTGCCTTGTTCGGCTGCTTGAGGGACTTTAATTTAACCCTCTTTCTGCTCTCATTCTCCCGTTTACTTGAGTCTTCCCTGCTTTCAGAATGCCCTTTGTCCTTTCCTACCAAGTTTACTAGCGCACCCCCCCCCCCCCCGTGTACAAACACTCACAAAGGGTGGAACGTGTTAGAGAGATTGATAGTTTCCCACTTTAGGGAGAGAAAATTGAAAGCTTTTGCTTAGGTGGTTAGCTTCTGCAAATGAGGTCGTCCCACAAATGAGAAGCGTCTGGGGTGAGAGGGTTTCTCATGGTGGAGTGGCTCCTTAGGCAGCCACTATATAGACATTGTTACTATTGTTTTCCATGAATTATTCCTGAGTTCACTGAGGTTTTTTTCTTCTTCTTTTTGACTTGATTTGACTAAAGCGTGTTTTTGGAGGGTGGAATCCCACAGTGAAGATGGAGTGGGGGGATGGAGAGAGGAAATGAGTGTTTAGGAATCCATTAATTTTTTTTTAATTTCCAGAATTAAGTAAAATAGGCCAGTGAGTCAATTTTCGTTTGTTTTGAAGGGAGGGCTTATCTTGGCACAAGTTTTAAACGAATATCTTAGTCATGTAGTTGTGATGTGTATTTTTAGGACTACCCAATTACTTAACTCTTATTTCTACCGTCCAGAAGCCTCAATTTCAGGCTTTAAACTGGGTCAACTTTGTGGAAAATGGGATTGATAGGGAATGCTTAACATTCATGCATGTGATAGTTGCTGAATACTCAGTAAAAGGACGTTCTTAGAATATTATGTAAGAGTAGTATCCTTACCAACTGTTTGCTTCATCTTTTGTGGTCAGTGTACACTGTACTTTTTAGATGCAGGTGCTTAAAAGTGCTAAGTAAAGGTTCAAGTTACTAGTGACAGATTGGAAAGGGTATTGTGCCCATGTTGAGGTATGTTGTGTGTGCTGTCATTTGTAGATACTGGAAGTGTTGCACACAGTGGAGTTCATGTGCTTACTTTCTTAGAAACATTTTGAAAGCAAACTTCTGGTTAATTTTAAAGGATACAGTTTGTTTGCTTTTTGTTCTTTTGGTTGAGACAGGGATTGGTTTCTCTGTGTAGCCTTGGCTGACCTGGAACTCTCCAGGCTGGCCTTGAACTCAGAGATCCATCTGCTCCTGCCTCCTGAGTACTGGGATCAAAGGCCTGCACCACCATGCATGGCTTAAGGATACAATTTAATTTCCAAAAACTATTTTACTGGAACAACTGTTAGTTAATTTCCCTGTATTGGAATTTGTTCATTAAAAAAATATCAAACTATGAAAGTTTCTGCTCTCTAATAGGGAGCAGTGTGACACTTTTGATTTGAAATTAATATAGAAATACTTCCTGTAGCATATACTAATTTAAAATAAAGGCGTTGGGCTCAGTATGTAGCTTAGTGGTAGAGTATTTGCTTAGCATGCATTAAGCCCTAATTTTAAACTCCAGCAACACACACACACACACACACACAAGAAAATAAATAATTGCTTCAGTCCTGCTAAAAAGTTTGGCTTTGTGGGTTTGGGTGTACCTCAGTGGTAGAGGACTTGTTTAGTACTGTTAAGCCCTGGGTTCCATCTCCAGTACTGCCCAAACCTAGACAAGTCCCTGAGATCCTAGCAGTCAGGAAACAAAGGCAGGAGTTATGCAAGCAAGTTAGAGGCCGGTCTAGTTTCCATAGTAAGGTCTAGACCAACCAGGACTGCATGGCAAGAGGGGGTGAAAAAAGGCTTTATGTCCTATTTAATGTGTTTTTGGGTTTTTTTTTTTTGGAGACTACTGTGTAGTCTTGACTGTCCTGGACCTAGCTCTGTAGACCAGATTGGCTTCAAACTCAGATCCATCTGCCTCTCCCCAAGTTCTGGGATTAAAGTTGTGCACTACCAAGGCCGGTTCATGTCCACCCTTTTAAGCCTTTTAAGATTTCTTTCTTTCTTTCTTTTCTTTCTTTTCTTTTTTTTTTTTTTTGGTTTGTTGAGACAGGGTTTTTCTGTAGCTTTGGAGTCTGTGCTGGAACTCACTCTGTAGACAAGGCTGGTCTTGAACTCACAGAGATTCACCTGTTTTTGCCTCTGAATGCTGGGATTAAAGGTGTGTGCCATCACCGCCCCGCAAAGGTTTCTCTTATATGTATGTGTAGCATGTGCGTGCTGGCTTAGTGTTTTTGGAGTTCAGAAGAGGGCATTGAATCATCTGAAACTGGAGTTATAGGAGGTTGTCAGCCACCTTGTGGGTGCTTGGAATTGAACCTGAGTCCTGCAAGAGCAGCTGATACTTTTAGCTATTGATCCAACCCTTTAGCCCCTGTTTACTTCTTTTTTGGGGGTGTGGGGTTTCAAAACAGGGTTTCTTTGTGTGTCTTGGCTGTACTGGAACTCTTTAAATTAATATTAGGATATGTGTGCTCTATTTTTTTTGTTCTAATTCTTAAAAAATTGTGTTTGTATGTGAATATGGGTGAGTAGAAACCACACCTTGTTTGTGAAGGTCAGAGGACAGCTTTAGAGTGTAGTTTTCCCCATCCACTTATGTGTGGGTTCTGGGGATTAAACTCAAATTTACAGGCTTGTATGGCAAGAATTTTACCTGCTGATCCATCTTGTACTAATTTTTTTGTTTTATTTTGTTTTTGTTTTTTGAGACAGGGTTTCTCTGTGTTGCTTTGGAGCCTGTCTGGAACTAGCTTTTGTAGATCAGGCTGGCCTCGAACTCAACAGAGATCTGCCTGCCTCTGCCTCCCTAGTGCTGGGATTAAAGGTGTGCTCCACCATTGCCTGACCCCTGTACTAATTTTTTGATGCTGGGGATTGAACCCGGGCTACTCAAAGTCTGCCACTGGTCTGCCACTGAGGCCATGCACTCAGCATTTTTACCTGTGGTTTTAAGAAAAATGACACGCATTCCCCACCCCCATCCAAAACCCCTTACTCCCATGTTTTATATTTGTTGTGTCAGTTGGCAGCCTGTGATCCAGGATGAGATCCTGGTTATGTAGCTCATGATAGCCAGGAGCTTTGCAACTTGTGCTGACTTCCAGCTCACCTCACCACCCCTGTTCTCAGCCTCTGAAGTGTCTGTGCTACCCTGTCCTAGTAATGTATGAACACTTTTCGTTTTTTCAAGACAGGGTTTTTCTGTGTAACAGCCCTAGCTGTTCAGGAACTTGCTCTGTAGACCAGACTGGCCTGGCCTTAAACTCACAGAGATCTGCCTATCTCTGCCTCCCAAGTGCTGGGATTAAAGGCGTGCACCACCACCACCACCCGGCCTTTTTTGTAAAGACACGCCTCATATAACCTAGGTTGACTTGGCTTAAACTTTCTATATAGCCAGGGATGACCTTAATCTTGCCTCCCACCCCCCAAGTGCTGGCATTACAGGCTTTTGTCACCATGCCAGGTTTATGCCATGCTGGAGATTGAACCCAGGGTGTGATGTGTGCCGGGCAAGACTGTGCCAGTTGTTCCATCCTCAACATCCAAATGAAAAATCTTAAAAATACTGTGTGTGTAAGAGAGAGAATGTGAGGTGTGCGGGTAAGAGAGGAGAGTGTGTGTGTCTGTGTCTGTTTACCCCGGTTGGGGTGCTTTCAGAAGCCAGAAAAGGACATCAGATCCCCCTAGGATTGGAGTTGCAGAGGATTATGAGCCTACTAATATGGTTGCTAGAAACTGATTTTGGGTCCTCTTGAAAAAAAGTAAATACTTTTAACTACTGAACCATCATTCTCACCCTCATAAATTCTTTACTTTGGGGTGGGGTTATTGAAACAGGATTTCTACAAAGTCCCCAGTGTCCTGCAACTCAATATGTAAACTAGGCTGGCCTTGAACTCACAGAAATACACCTGCTGAATGCCAAGATTTAAGGTGTGTGCTGCCACATCTAGCCCTCAGAAATTCTTTAAAATTTATTTATTTTTATTTTTATGTCTCTGGGTGTTTTGCTTGCATGTGTGTCTGTGCACTCTGTGCATACCTGGTATTCATAGAAGACAGAAGAGGCCACCAGATCCCCAGGAACTGGTGTTACAGACGGTTATGAACTGCTGTGTGGGTGCTGGAACTCGAACCCTGGTCCAATGGAAGAGCGGCCAGTGGCCTTTATTGGCTGAGCCAACTCCAGCTCCTAAAATTCTTTTTATTGCATTATACACACACACGGCATTTGTTTCCTTTGTTTTCAATAAAGACTTTCTCTGTGTAGCCTTGGCTGTTCTGGAACTTGATCTGTAGGCACAGACTGGCCTGGAACTCAGAGTTCTGCCTGCCTTTGCCTCCTGACTATTTAAGATATATTTTCATATATCCGTTTTAATTCCAGCATTCTGGAGGCAGAGACAGGTGACTTTGAGATCAGCTTAGTTGACATAGTGAGTTCCAGGTCATCCAG